TTAACAAAATTATTAATTATCGTAAGCTCATCAGTATTAGGTTATTAACAATTTTAACTGTAAGGCAATATCCTTGATGTAAAAAAAAAGACCCTAAAGAAATTGTTTATAAATAATTTTGTTTACCATATGACTAGATTATGGTCGTTTCATCAATACAGCAAATAGCTACTTTGTCTTATGAAAAAAACCTTGTATCGGTTGGAGATGATGTGGCAAGGGTGGGGCTCACAAGGTAAAATAGCAAAAAAAAAATTTTTTAAGGCCTAACGGGTGTAACCATTGCACTTAACGATTAATAAACAGTACCGTTAGCTTGCATTGGACGGAGGGACAATATTAGCATGTTTTAGCATTGTAGAGGGACGACAAGTGGAGTTAATTGATAGTAGAGGGATGACATGGAGCCAATTCATAGTAGAAGGTTTAGATTGCACTATTTTTTATAGTATAGGGACGATAGATGGCATTAACCCCTACTTGTGCACCATATTTTCCTTTGGATATTTCCTTCCCACGTACCTTATCCCAACGTCTTCATTCTTGTCTACCAAAGCTGAAAGCTCTCCTCGATGAAATCACAGAAACTGAGAGCTACCCAGAACCCGGTAGCTATTCTCAACTGCAAATTCTATGCAGTTTTTCACTTAGAATAGCAAAGTTCTGTACTTTATCTTGATCTCAGAGCCATCCATTTCTTACTTTCCCTGAAAAATGGCGGTGGCGCTTGGTGACTCTCCGCTGGTGAACCACTATCCCGGTATTCCACGGTTTGCTTCCAAGTTTCTCTTAACTAACAGAGGCAGAAACTATCTTTCATCAATATCCCATGTTGATTCCTCTATTTTGGGTGGAAAATCTCTTCGAGTTCAGGAACTGGGAGTTGGGACATCGAGATGTAGAGGTGGGGGTAGGCGGAGGATGCTGGCTAGGGCTTCATTGGGGGGTCTTCTGGGTGGGATTTTCAAGGGAACTGATACGGGAGAGGCCACGAAGCAGCAATATGCCGGGACTGTGAACGTGATCAATGGATTGGAGTCGGAAATGGCTGCTTTAACTGATTCGGAATTGAGAGAAAGGACTTCTATTTTGAAGGAACGAGCTGTTCAAGGCGAATCTCTGGATTCCGTTTTACCTGTAAGTTTGAATCATCTCCTTTTGATTTTAATAAAATATGGTGGTAACTAATTTTGGATCATTGGATGGGAATAATGTTTAATTTGATTGCTTTAGCAGGCACTAGAATGGGAATGTGATCAATAACTTCAGAATTTGTATCTTTGAATGAAACTTTCCTACAAGAAGCTTTAAGTAATTATGTACATTTGTAGGAAACATGAGGAAGTTTCTTTTTTCTTTCTTTTTTTCTTTGTTTTATGTTTACAACTTTTTTCTTTTTTTTTTTTTAAATCAAAGAAGCAAATCCATTGCAGGAAGCATTTGCTGTTATAAGAGAGGCTTCCAGAAGGGTACTTGGCCTCCGTCCCTTTGATGTTCAACTGATAGGTAAATTGTTTTGTACACTGTCCACTGAATTTCTGACTCTGCTGAATGTTTTCATATTGAACTCGTGAGGGAATTTTCTCAGGTTTCTTGATTTTTGGTTTTGTAGGTGGCATGGTTCTTCATAAGGGAGAAATAGCTGAAATGAGGACTGGTGAAGGAAAGACCCTTGTTGCTATTTTACCAGCTTATTTGAATGCACTAAGTGGAAAAGGAGTTCATGTGGTCACTGTAAATGATTATCTGGCAAGACGAGATTGTGAGTGGGTTGGTCAAGTTCCTCGCTTTCTTGGGTTGAAGGTTGGCCTAATACAACGTATGTCTCTTTCTTTTCCATTTGTGTTACTGTATATCTTATTTATCAACATTGATGCTTGTGCTTCTTTCTATGTGGATGGATTCACTATCTTGATTTAGGGCCTCTTCATATTAATGCATCTAGCTTTGAATTTATACTATCCTATTTCTAATTTAGTTATTTTTGTATTTGTTCTCTTTTTCATTTTTGCTCTTATTACCAGTGATCACCTTAAACTAGCCACTGATTTTTCTTTTATTTCTTTTATTTTCCTTTTTTTGGCAGAGAACATGACAAGTGAACAAAGAAGAGAAAATTACTTGTGTGACATCACATATGTTACCAATAGTGAACTAGGTTTTGATTACTTGAGAGACAATCTTGCCACGGAAAGTAATTCTTGCTTTATTAATATGTTGGTTTTATTATCAGTTTCTGTGATTACTACAGTTCATTCAGGAGCACTGAATGGCATTCTTCTTTGCTGAATGAACTTTTTGACACATACAGAGTGTGGAGGAACTTGTCTTGAGGGATTTTAACTATTGTATCATTGATGAGGTTGATTCCATCCTGATCGATGAAGCAAGAACACCTCTCATCATATCTGGGCCTGCAGAAAAACCTAGTGATCGTTATTACAAAGCTGCAAAAATAGCTTCAGCTTTTGAACGAGATATACATTACACTGTAAGACTGCTAAAATGTATCCTTATTCTCTTATTAATCTAATTGTTCCACCTGGGTTATATACCTAAAATGTTGAAGATGTAGTCTCATTGGAAGGTTAGATCTTTTGTATGATTCATGTGAATATACTATTATGATGGCAATTTAAGAGATTTTTGACATATATAAGTAGTTATGATTTTCTTTCAGGTGGATGAGAAGCAGAAAACAGTTCTACTTACAGAACAGGGTTATGAGGATGCTGAAGAAATTCTGGATGTAAAAGACTTGTATGATCCACGAGAACAATGGGCATCTTACGTTTTGAATGCAATAAAAGCAAAAGAACTATTTCTCAGAGATGTAAACTATATCATCCGTGGCAAGGAAGTGCTTATTGTAGATGAGTTCACTGGTCGAGTTATGCAGGTCCTTTTTTAAATCCTACTCACTCAAGTAATAAAAATATGCATTTTTCTAGTGTATTATCTACTTCAACTTGTATCACAATTTCAGCTCTGACTGGATTCAGAATCCAATCATTTATTAACTGCACTCCAAGAGCTATTGCCCAAATTAATTTCTCTGGCTTATTAAGCTTTTGATGTCTTAGGATATGTTTTTTTCATGTCAATTTTAAGTTTCTAACATGAACCCATCTTTATTTGTAATTCTTTTTTATGAGAGTTGATTAGTAGTATTAAAGACTTTGGTGGAAAAAGTCCAAAAATGGTAGTGGAAACTTCATCTCATTATTGTTCTTATATTAATATTAATGCTATAGAATTAGAGGTAGAATAATTATATTACTTGCATGAATGTATTTAAGGTTGGAAAAAAAAAAAAAAGAATTGGGAAATAATTTACTTGATAAATGAACTAGTTCATTGGGTCATACATAATTCATATATCTGAATGTTATATTGTTTGGTTCTGTCAGGGGAGGAGATGGAGTGATGGACTTCATCAAGCAGTTGAAGCAAAAGAAGGTTTGCCCATTCAAAATGAAACAGTAACTTTGGCATCAATTAGCTATCAGAACTTTTTCCTGCAGGTTGGAGCATTCTATCTCTAAGAGGATATGGTGAAATGTTGGTTCTCTGAAAATTTATGTTCATCCATTTTCCTAGTGCTAACATATTTACTACAGTTCCCAAAACTTTGTGGGATGACTGGCACGGCAGCAACTGAAAGCACAGAATTTGAGAGCATATACAAGCTTAAAGTTAGTATTGTCCCTACAAACAAACCCATGATTAGAAAGGTATGGCTGTATGACTCATCCACATATAACATACCAGAAGTCCTCCTTCTTATCATTGTTGATTCAACTACTGATCCTGGAAAGGAAGAAAGGAGTAAAGAAATAAAGTAGATTGCAAGACAGGAAAAACAAAGAATAAGTTAATGTGCAAAAGAGAAGAAAAAGATTCTGTCCTTCATCCAAATTGTTGAAATCTATAGCATGTAATGGAATTTTATGATCATTTTCTTATAACTTGCTAATGTCTTCCTCAGGATGAGTCCGATGTAGTATTTAAGGCAGTTATAGGAAAGTGGCGGGCAGCAGTTGTAGAAATTTCTAGAATGCACAAGACAGGTCGCCCGGTACTTGTTGGCACAACCAGTGTTGAGCAAAGTGACTCATTGTCAGAGCAGTTGCAAGAAGCTGGAATCCCCCATGAGGTAAGGTCTTCTTCGTCTTTGTAAACTGATATCATACAATCTTGGACATTGAACACTGGAATCATTAGTGTGTATGAATTCATGTTGTCCTTTACTATAATGTATTGTTTTTAAGGCAAACCAAATACAAGTTGGGCTGAATATATGGTGTTTTCTCATGTTGGGAAAGTTAATAAACTTATATTTTTTGAAGGTTCTGAATGCAAAACCAGAGAATGTAGAGAGAGAAGCAGAGATTGTAGCACAGAGTGGTCGTCTAGGGGCTGTAACAATTGCCACAAATATGGCAGGTCGTGGAACAGATATAATCCTCGGTGGCAATGCAGAATTCATGGCAAGGCTGAAGCTTCGTGAAATGCTCATGCCAAGGTATGATCTGATCTTATTATATTTGGTCGGATTCTAAGGTGCTTCAGGGCTATGGATGTGTATGGACCCACAACATATTGGTTTATGACATTTTAGAAAAGCATTTTCCATTCCTAACTGTGTAATAATTGCAGAGTTGTTGAGCCAGCAGATGGAGTTTTCGTATCCGTGAAGAAACTTCCTCCAATGAAGACCTGGAAGGTTTGATTTTTCTATTCTTATATATTAATTTTAATTTTGGTTGATAAATTTGATTGTCAGTAATGCTCTATACCTGGTACTAACTCTTTGTTAATATTCCAGGTCAATGAGAAGTTATTTCCTTGCAAACTATCCAGCAAGAATGAGAAATTGGCTGAGGATGGTGTAGAATTAGCTGTTAAAACATGGGGAAAGAGATCCTTAACTGAGCTGGAAGCTGAGGAACGCTTGTCATATTCTTGTGAAAAGGTGAATGAGCAAATAGCAAAATACTTTGCATATATTATGATTCTTGTCTTCATTTTGTCCTCTGCATTTCCCATTGAAATGATTGCATCCAGATACAACCAAATAGTATTAATCCTACTCTCTTATCTACAGGGCCCTGCTCAGGATGAAGTCATAGCTAGGCTTCGAAGTGCCTTCTTAGAAATTGCTAGAGAATATAAGGTCTACACCGAGGAAGAAAGGAAGCAGGTTAGCAATTCTTCCCTTGTAGACTTGTCTCTGACAATATGATCAATTTTGAGTGCAATTCTTTGATTTCCATGATGCTGCAGGTAGTTGCAGCTGGAGGGCTTCACGTGATTGGGACAGAACGCCATGAATCACGCCGAATAGATAATCAGGTTAATTTCTTTTTCCCCTGTATGCACATCTTGCATGAAATAACTTCCTGTAAAATGTACTCAAGCTGCACTTCCATTTTTACATGTGCAGCTGAGAGGCCGATGTGGCAGGCAAGGGGATCCTGGAAGTTCACGCTTTTTCCTAAGTCTTGAAGATAACATCTTTCGGATTTTTGGTGGAGATAGAATTCAGGTTTGGCCTGTAGCTTCTGTTTTCTAGTTGGTAGTATACCATTAGATATTGTTGTTAATATATTCTTGATGTGTCAACCTGAAGGGTCTGATGAGAGCTTTCAGAGTTGATGACCTGCCAATTGAATCCAAGATGCTTACTAAAGCACTGGATGAAGCTCAGCGGAAAGTGGAAAACTACTTTTTTGATATCCGGAAGCAATTATTTGAGTATGACGAGGTGTTGAACAGTCAAAGAGATCGTGTCTATACAGAAAGAAGACGAGCTCTCATATCTGACAATCTCCAATCTCTTATTATTGAATATGCTGAATTGACGATGGATGACATCCTAGAGGTGAATGGATTGTGATTTTCATTTTCTTCCCTTTTATCATAATTCCATGTCCGTTTGTCTCATATTATCTCATTTTGATTCTTGTTACAAACAGGCAAATATTGGTCCTGATGCTCCAAATGAAAGCTGGGATCTTGAAAAGCTCATTGCAAAAGTTCAACAGTAAGAGGCCTCATTAATTATTTGTCTTTACATATTCATGAAGATATAAATGCATGACAAGGTTATGACCTAAACAATTTCTGAGATATTGAGCGCATCATCCAGTTCCACTGATCAGCTAATTGCAACCATGAGAGAATCCTTTCTAGAGTTTTAGTATTCGTATTTCTGAAGTTATAATGAATTGGTTGCTTGAAGGGTTTTAGGATCTTGGTTATTAACAAAGTGGATCCCCCTCTTTTTTTTATGAAACTTTGCTGACAAACACACTGGAATAAATTTAGGTATTGCTACCTGTTGAATGATTTGACCCCAGATGTTTTAAGGAGCCAGAGTTCAAGCTATGAAGAATTGCAAAATTACCTTCGTCTTCGTGGTCGTGAAGCATATTTGCAGAAAAGGGTAAATATATAATTTTATTGACAAAAATAGGATGTTTATGGTGTTAAAGAGAATCCTGCTATTGTTGAACCTGAATTTTTACTCATTCAAGTTATAAATGCCCCAAAAAATTGCTTTCAGGATATAGTGGAGAAACAAGCACCAGGATTGATGAAAGAAGCTGAGAGGTTTTTAATTTTGAGTAATATTGATCGCTTATGGAAAGAACATTTACAAGCTCTCAAGTTCGTGCAGCAGGCTGTTGGTTTACGTGGCTATGCACAACGTGATCCACTTATCGAGTATAAGCTAGAAGGCTATAATCTCTTTTTAGATATGATGGCACAGATTAGAAGAAATGTGATATATTCCATATACCAGGTACGTACTATTAGTAACTGTCTTGGGAAATAACACAAGAAATAGCTATCATCACCTCAACGTATCAATTTTCTACTGGTTTTCATTCTCTGTTTTCGTTTTGACTTTTGGCATGCTGGATATTTGGCAGTTCCAACCGGTGCTGGTAAAGAAGGATGAGAAGGAGAGATCTGGTAAGGCTATTGCAAATGGCAGTGCTAACAACAAGAATCCAAATGCAGTTAATGCAGCAGAGTCATCTGCTTCAACTGCCAGCCCCCAAGCTAGTGCATAGGACTGATATCAGTTGGAATTCTTTGGAGAGGACATTAACAAGAGAATCATCAGCCTGATTCCATCGTATAATCACAAGATTCGTTAATAGGGTGTATGGATTGATTGTTACACCATAGTGAACCACACTACTATAAAACTAAGGCCAGAAGAAGCACAATGTAACTCAGCACAATGTAACTCATTCTGGATGATCAATGTAAAATTTTGGCCCTTTTTTTTTTTTTTCTTTCTTGTTATCCATTCTCATGGTAATATTCACAATCAGGCATGCCTTAACACAGTTTAATAGTATGCTACCATCAGCAGTCAGACACAGGGAGCAGAAGAAGAGCGCCCACATTCTAAACTCTATACCATGCCAATTCAACTTCTGATACAAATTAATAAGGTTATCTAGGGGCATAGAACTTTCCAGGATGCATGGATGCCTTCCATTAAAACGCTGGGGGGTTAATTTTCACATTCCTTCTTTCTAGGACTCTACATAACTAGCAGGTTTGTGACATACTGCATTACATATGTTAGAGGAGTTCAGCCAGAGCTCCATGATTCACTTCATCGCCATGAAGAATTTGTTCAATTATTTGATTGATAGTGTTTCCTTGAACCTATATGAGGGCATACGGATTAATAATTAGCGGACAGAAAAAATCATAAAATAAAACACGGAATGAAGAAAATATTGGAACAGATTATATGTAGTTCGAGATCCCACACCTTTACTCCAATAGCAATTGCCGTTTTTATCTTAACGAGCTCACCCAATCTTAAAGACCCCATTTTGTTGTCTTTGATAAAGATTAGCGGAACCTTCCTTGAAGAAGCTAAGCCTGGCAGGTGCTTTGTTAGCCCTTTGGGATTGCAATCAGCAGCTAACAGAACAGCCTACATGGATAAAAAAGGATTTGTTATCTTCATTGCTCAAATCTGATTATCTCAGAAAGACGGAATGATAAATGAAATAATAAGCTGCTTTAAAAGATATGGACTTGGTGAATCCAAATAACATCAAACATGTTTGAGAAACACTACTCTCAAACGCAACTTTCAAGCACCAAATTGTTCACAATGCAAGCAAAACAATAGACTACAGCGACCCAACCTGAAGCTGGACTGAAGGAGCTCTCCTTTTGCTACACAACACATTAGGCTTATGGTGAGAGCTTCCGGCCTCAATACTTGGTGCCATTCGTTCAAGCACGCGAGTCACATCATTGACACCAACTGCAAATTGTTGCTAATGACAATATAGCACAAATAATCAGAACACATATTAGATAAAACCACAGACCACACCAGCCTCAGTAAAAGGCAGAAACTTCAATAAAATATTCAAATGTTAAAACCTTGAACCATATTTTTTCAGGCAAGGTGTTCCCATCCAAAGCTCTAGATGACTCTATTCCTCTGTAAAATACCGGAATCAGATTCAGCACTTTTGGGGAAAGAAAAAAAAAAAGGACCAAGTTTAAGCAGAAACAAAAGGGTGTTCACATTATTACCTCTGAATTGATTTGAGCAGAAGAACAAGCCGTTCCCCTTCATAGCATCTACGAAAAGCTTTAAAATTGGAATCAAAAATCCAAAAAAGCGAAATTTGCACAAGTCATTGAAGTAAAGACCCACATACTCTCGCTCCTGAGGAAGAGCGCTAAGCTGCGTGGCATGACTAAGTTTGTCCTCCGACGCCTTGTTTCTACCCGGCATAATGATTTGATTGCAGAGTTCACCGCTTATTTGAAGAGAAACTTCAAAGATTGATTTCACTCACTACCCTTTTCTGTTTCCTTTAACCAAGAAGACGATGAATTCAACTCAAACTGGGCATGAAAAAAAGGAAACTTTTTGAGGGGATAGAGAGTTTCAAAATTCCGACCTACAGATTTCTGCGATAATGCAAGATGTGTCAAGATTGAAGGGGGTTTACCTCGCCGGAAAAATTCCACTTGTTAGCAGAGGAGATACTACGGCGGCAGAACTGGGGGGCAGCTGTTTTGAGGGAGACAGAGAGCGAGTTTTCAAGAGTGGGCCTCGGCCTTTCAAATATATAATCGTACTTCTTTCTTTCTTAGTGCCTACGTGGGCCTGTACTTAGGCCCATTGAAATTAGCCTTTTGGACTTTGGAGTAAAAACAAGTTAACGTCAAAATTAAAATTTAAAACCATTTTTGGTGGGCTAATAGTTGATGGCCCAACTAAAATCATAACCCAAAAGAGCCTAGTGAGTCCCGAGTCATGAGCTCAACTCTAAAGAGGTGTTTCAACAAATAAAAATTTAAAAAGATTTTAAGTTAATGTGTTTATATTTAAATTTTGATCTGTGATCAAGATTAAGATATAAAATATTTGTAACATAAAGTAAGTAACCCTTCAAAAACTCAAACTCAAACTTAAAATTAGTGAAGAGGGGTTGAAATTTGGAAACAAAAAGGGAAGGGCGATGCGTATTTATAATCTAATATCGAACCATAAATTATTTTAAGATTTAAATTTAAAATTTTTAACTTAAACTAACGATCTGAATAATTCAGTAATTATCTCTTTCCATTAGAAAGTAAGAGATCTTAAATTTGAGTCGTATAACATGCGAATCAAGTGAAATAAGGGATGAGATATGATTGTCTCTCATTGTGCAACCAAAATAAAAAAAAAATTAAATTTAAAATTTTATCTATTATAATATCTATGGGACCTATAAAATTGTTTTTAGTTGTAACTAACTTCAACTTTTAAAATTCCCCATTAAAAAAGAGATGATATAAAATCAAAGCAAGTCAAAAGATATTTACATAAAAAAGAAAAAGAGAATAGAAGAAAGCAAATGATTCATAATTAATATGAACTTTTTTTTTTTAATATGATTGTATTCATTCAATGGTATGAAACCAAATAAAGTTAAAAGGATAAAGCAGAGGCGGTCCGTACGGTCATCTAACTGCTAGGGCACACATTTACAGTTGGCAGCAAAGGGAAAATTTTCCCAAAATGGTCCCATCTCCTAACCCCATGGTAGTATGAATTATTATTGGAATGGACCCTCAATCCGGTAATTACCATGATTAATTCGTCCTAAAGTTAAACCAAAGGACCAGATCCAAGAACATGTTCAATTAGAATAATTTCCAAGGCAAGCAAATGTAGCCGGCCAAGCTGACCCTGTAAGTTTTGGAAATATTTATGTTACATGATGACCTTTTGATCAATTTGATTAATTTGTAATTAACATGTGTACAAATTTGAAGGCATGACATGAGCACCTGCATTTATGGTCTCTTTTTTTTTTCATTTTTCTTTTGTCATGTAATTCTATAAATTGAATTTACTATTATGCTTCACTTTTTTTTCTTGTATTTATTGTATGAAGTGGATTTTTGTGCATTTTATAACTAATTTCCTTTTAAATGATTTTAAAAACGCACTTACATCCCCATATTAGTTTGGTACATTTAAAGAAATTACTTTTTTGAATGTTAGTCTCAATACTTGAATTTTAAATCTAATTTATAATATGATATTTATTTACCAATAAATCTAATTTTTAAGATTGTTCAACTTTTTTAAAAGCATACATTAAGAAAGATTAATCGGGTATCATCCACTATAAAACGCTCATATATGGTTGATTTGGTTTGTTGAAGTATTGGAGACATTATTGTCATTTCGTTTTATGCACTGGTTTTTATTGTTTTGGAAGATTATAAGGTCGACTGACATAGGAGGAAGCTAGCCTTTTGTTTCCACGACACTAAAATTGAGCTACTTAAACTAGAGGTGTTCTTGGGTAAAGGCAATATTCATAATATAATCAAGGGTAACGATATACAAACGATTGACTTACCACTTGAGCAGTAGTAGTGTGTGTGTGTTACTAGGAATGTTTCAATGGTCCATTCAAATGCACCGAGAAAAGAAAACATAAATTAAAAGGGCATAACAGGCAATAGGGGATGGTTAAGGTTTCCTTATAGGGGGGGATCAAGCCATCGAACAACAGACTAAGGGAAAATGTGGTCTCCCACAGTCCCAATCCAGTCCAGTGGCTAACCAATCCAACGGTCCAACCACTAGCTGCGGCTCAGAGGAGAGGACCCTACTCTTCGGAGAAAGGACCAGCCAAGGAAATTTTAGTCAATGCGTATCAGAACTTTGGACTGTCAGTAGAAAAAATTTGGCACTCCTCTACTTTGTGATTGGCTAGGATGCCAGTACAAGGCAAGACTAACTCATACGACGCCGTTTTCTCCAAAATTGTATTGGTTTTTTTTTTTTTTTTTCCTCCTTAAAAAAGGGGTAATGTGCTAATCATACATTAAAATTGTTTTCAAGTAAATTTTCATCACTTTCACGGTTTCACCGGTTAAGGCTTAGGTTAATAGTATTAATCTATAACTACAGTTATAAATTTTTTTTTACATAAATTAATAAAAAAAT